TGACCGATCGAATTGTAAATATATTCCCTCATTCTCATCAAAGGAAGACCCGACAGAGTGCTCCCGGTGATATCTGCAGCTTTCTTTATCCAAAATATCGGGCGGTTTTCTGTTTCTTCATCTTAGCGCGCAGCAGCATATTGGCTTGGATAGGTAGGATCGAATTTGTCTCGCTTCTTTTCTTCTCCTTTTGTCTTATTTCTATTTTTTCTTCTTCTTTTTCCTTCATGTGTGGCATCGGGTCTTTGCTTGCTTTTCTTTTCTTCTATTCATCTTGGGTGGTCTCTAGCCTGCTTGTATGATATATTCAATTGTTAAGGATTCAAATATAACTATCAGATTATTTTTTTTTACTTATACAGAATTGTCTAAGCGCAGCCCCCGGTCTATATTGGTAACGAACTACCTGATTAATCTCTCCCTATATCCGATGAGGGCTACGGTGTACTTAGTTACTACTCAGCCCAAATCTACATTCTACTTAATATACAAATCCAGCGTTCAAATGCAAGTATAAGTATGTATGTATGTATGTATGCACGGATAGTTGAGCTTTTCATTCGTCTATGCCAGAGCATTTCCTGTACGGTCTTCAACAGGTTCAAAGGGGGGGGAGGGATAAAATGTGCATGAAACCACCGACGTCAAGGTCAAAAAAGGTGGGCTTTGTGAGAAAAACAAGAGAGGAAGGAAAAGAAAGACAGAAAATAGATATCAAACACGCCTGCCGTTCCGTTCATCAGAGAGCAACTCGCTAGAGGGTCACTGGTTATGATTATTAAATGTCGAGCCAAAATGGCAGGTCGCCGGCGAATCGGTCGTAATATCAAACGCCAGACACGCCAGAAGAAGTCGGAGGGAAGCGAAGAGAAAGGAATCAGTTGGAAGAGAAAATAGAATGGAAAAAAAAAAGAAAGAACAAATAGATAAAACAAGTAGTCATAGATCATTGGTCATCGGGCTGGGTGCGGCATCATGGGCCCGGGAGGTCGCTGCTACCGGGCAGGCCAGAAAACAGCCCGTCGGAGAGGGGTTGCGTCGGGATGAAGCCGGCGAAAATCTGTTCGAGGGCCTCGTACCCTTCGGGAATGGTCTCCATCACGGCGGGCATGAACTGTGGTGGATTGACACTCATCCGACGGTCATCTTCAAAGGGCGACGCTTTGATGGTGGTCACCGACTCAGTGCCCTCTGTATATCGCCGTTTGAGCTCGCCGATGATGCAGGAGAACCGGTAAGCGATGTGGTCCTCGCTCGGAGCCAGGTGCAGTAGGAATGCCTGGATCTGTTCGATCAAGGGATCGAGGACGCTAAAGTCACAGAGGGTCAGGGCCGCGTAGCCCACGATGAAGAAGGCATGGTCGACCATCTGCAAGACAGCGTGCGACCGGATTTGCAAGAACCGTGAGATGATCAAGCGCGCACTCTCCACGATGTCAGGGAGCAGTTTCTCCGGATCGGTACGAAGACGCATGGCCGTGCGATGGAGCAACAGCTGACAGAACCAGAAGCTCAGCTCTAGGGCCGAGGATTGCTCACCCGCTAGGAAAGAGAAAAAAAAAAAGGTTGGTCAGTCCCGCCATTCAACGGAAAGAGGCAGGGAGGAGGGAGGGGGTGGCCCTACCGAACAGATGGGTCCAATCGGATTTCCATTGTTCCAACTCGTCATATTCCGAGTCAAAGCGCATACGTTGAGCATTGTTCTGGAGTTTCAAGGTGATCAAATACAGCTGGATCTCTGCCACGACTTTGCCGTCTTCGAAGCGCGCACTGGGATGCTCCAGGATCCGTGAACAGTGGTCGAGGTACTTTGGTTGAAGATTAAACGGGCGGGCGTTTCCGATCGCAAAGCTGAACAGAGATATCCGGTCAGCATACTGACAAGGGAGGAGTGAAAAAAAAAGCGAGAGAGAGAGAGAGAGAGGGAGGGAGGGAGGAAGGGAGGGCGTACTGTAGTTGAGTCAAACAGAGAGCATTCCAGAGTCGGAGCTTTTGGAGCATGATATCCGTGACCACATACTCGGTCGGGGCACGGTTCAGAAAATCAAAGGAGACGATGGCGTGGTTGATCGAGATCCCGCTCAGTAACCAGCTGTCCATGGGGGGCTCCTTCTGGACGGTGGCGGACCACAGACACAGCAGTGTCAGCGCCTGGAGCGTCTCGTACGGCAGCGGCGGCGTGGTCCATAGAAGGGTGGCCGCGGCCAGTCGCACCTGGACATACATGGCGTGAAGGACGGGCGCCGGGATGCCGGGCACATAGCGAGCGGCCAGCAGGCAGGCTGTATTGAACAGCAAGGGATCGCTTTGTCCCAACTCGTTCTGGAAGTCGGACGGACTGTCTATTGACACCCAGGAACCAAAATTCTCCACGAATCTTCATACATGTCGGATAGCCATTAGTATCACAGAACCCAGGGGACACGGCAAAGTTTCACAGCAAGAGACACAACGGAAGAGAGAGAGAGAGAGAGAGAGAGAGAGAGGGGAAAAAACCATACAATCGAATCAACTTGAGGGACAGTTTGGAGTCGATGATCCCCTTGGAGACAAAGTCGCCCACGCACGAGGTCGTCTGGCCCGTCTCGCCAAAGAGCTCTGCCTGTAGTTTCCGCATGAGATGAACGGGTTTAGGCGCCAGCGCGGCATCGCCCAGCGAGGCCTCGTCCAGGTCGGATCCTCTCGAGGAATGCGATGCGACACTACCGGACACATTCGGGGATCGATCCAACATCTGGCGCATCATCCGGGTCATGTCGCCCATCCCTCTCTCCAGCGAGTTGAGACGCTCCTCAAGGAACGGGATAGGCCCCGTGGCATCGGACCATGCCAGAGCATTGTCTTGAAAACGCTCTGGGGTTTCCGGCAATTCACAGTCGATCCTACGAGACAGTTGACCACAGTGTCAGTCTTTTCTTTTTCTTTTTCTTTTTCTTTTTTTTTTTTTAAATAGAAAAAAAAAACAACCGGTTTGTCATAATGACTGCATGGTGGACCGTCATCATCCCATCCGGACAGAGTCCATTAGGAGAAGCAGAAAAAATCCCCCCTTTCCTTCGAGACCTGACGGTGGGGAAAATCCAGCTGCAGCGACAGCAGGGAAAGGAAAAAGGAGAGAGAGAGAGAGAGAGACAGTCTCATTTACCTTAATGACAAGCAGCGGCGACAGGCATGGCTACGCGGGTCCAGGTCGCATCGTGTCTTGAGCTTGCGGCAGGTGTTACACGCCGTCATGGAGCGTCGGATGCGTCCTTTGGGGCGAACCGCATCACCGGCGGTGCTGCCGCCGTGGTGATGGGCAGCAAGGCCGTTGCTGTCCCAGTGGACGCCATCGTTGCTTGTTCGCGTCATGACATTGGACGGCTGCTTCTTTCAATGAGATAATAGAAATCGTTCAACGAGGCCGTTAATGTGTACAGTTGGATCCAGAAGCATCGCAGCCGCACATGGGCAGACACGGCGAACGTGTGTGGAGAGACAGGAGCGACGAGGTAAGCTTTTTAACAGCCCACCGTGGGCCTGGCACAGGGAAACGAATCGTGATTATGCCAGCGCGTTGGCGATTGACGAATTGATTTGCGGCCCGTCAGAATCTCCTCAAATGTGCCTGTTGCGGTGCTTGTTCCCCCCCTCCCTTTTTTTTTCCCCTTGGGAATTTTTTCCCTGTTATTTTAGCGGTTCCGTTCGAGACCTTGGTCGACCCGGGGTAAAAAGCAAAATGGATAGCAGCAGCAGATATCATTCCTATTACCCAAAGATAATTCCAACTGTAGCGCCTCTTCCGACGTAAACCGGCGTGGCGTTCCCCTCTGGCCAGCCAAGGTAATCTCGCTTACCTCGCGCACAAGTCTGGCGTTTCCAGAAGTTCAGATATGCATCGCCATGCATGTCTGCCCGGAGGAGACTTTTGTCAAGTTGGAAACCCCCTTCTTCAAAGACTGACTGGCGATCGAGTCGTCTCGACAGTGTGATTTCCGAGACTCTTGCCCGTTCGACTCGATCCTCCGGCACAGACAGGCCGGGTTCTCTGGGCGCATACCCACCTGGACGACTTATCGCCAGTCAGTGTGTCGCCGAAAGCTGTGTGTACGGAGTACGTACCCACTTAATTCTAGCAAACTAATAATGCCCATTCACCCTTTGTCGATTGTGGATTGTTGGACGAGAGGTGCTAACCTCTTCAAGAAGGCGGCTACCGGCGGAGATGTCTCTCCGCTTCATGGATGGTGCTAGTCTTATCCAACCCATGCATCCACTACGACCACTATATAACTAGTTAGTCGGTCCGCTCGCTTCTGGTAGCTAGCTGCTAAGTCAGGCAATGTTGTCGATAAAGAAAATTCCCGCGCAGCGTCTTCGTCCCAAAACTGCCGGCAAGCGTCGAGCATCGCCAGTGGGGAGGATGGATATATCAACCACCATACTGTTTTCATATTGACACCACCCCGAGAGGAGGATTGGGGGGGGGGGGGACCGCGAATGCCTGATGGGCGGTCGGTCGGTCTCCTCTGAGACACGCGATCCATGGACCTCTTTTCGTCCTGACTATCTAGGTTAGCGGTTGGCCACTTGACTAATCATCGGTATTATCCGCGGTCCCCCACGGGCGAATCATGGGGGACTTGTTGATTTCATCGATTCGGCGTGCCATCTGACAGGCAGGCACCAGGCGCGGTCTCAGTTGGGGGGGTAACAGGGGAGCCCTGATCACCCGTCTCTGGTTGGTGGATTCGAGGGTGGTATATGCAAAGGATGCCAGTTCATTAATCTCAGCCGCTGACCTCGACGGCGTTGCACGGTGCTGCCAGCTGGCCTTGGATGGGATACATGAACTTCTAGTCCTTCTCTGCATGGATTCCACCGCTCTAGCTTGCCACTAAGCTATCTTGTGCCGCCCCCCCCCCCCCCTCCACGGGTATTTTCCACTCGTACTGTAGTATTATTTGGGGACTCAGGTCCGAGTCCACTCCGCTCACCAGGCATATCATCGTGCCATGATAAGTTGATACCATGCTGGTCTTATCATGTCCTTGCGATGGCTTCGGTCTCTGAGTGGATGAAAAATTTAGTAGTGTTACCCCCCTTTAAGATAGGCGGAAAGCTTCTTTGATGTGTTGCCAAAAGGGCCGGGAAAAATCGAGCCAAAGGGAGCACCTGCTTAAAATTAAACCCTCACCAGTGCGGATATGGCTGAATGACCTCGGCTGGTCGGTCCACAGTCCTTTTGCTTTCTAACCGACCTTGGCACGGACATCGTATTTTTGCGCTAGCCGTTTCTATGAGGAGGATTGTTATTGTTGGTGTTGGACTTGCAGGGAATGGCGACAGAACATCACAAGAGGCTGTATTCAGTACGGAGTAGAGCTCTCGTTGGGATGTTCAGGTTATTGCGTTGTCTCCGGAGGGCTTCCTTGGACTGGTTTGCGTGGTCCAGAATCCATCATGTGCAACGCAACAGCATTGGTAGTTGACCATGCCTGATGACGTCCTCCAGCTAGGTGCGCGCATTCAGTTGTCAGCGGTACAATATTAAGCCTGTTTAGGTCTATTATTAGGCAACCTCTAGAACGGACTCTGGAGTCGTTGACTTGTGACTGACCTGTAGGATCTGTTCCATTAACATGGCAGGACGAAGCTGATTCGCAGGCAGGATATGTAGTAGACTCAGAGCGGTGAAGTCATTTACAACCAGCATGTATATCCTGCAAAAGGTACTCCGTATCGCAGGTCAGCAGGGTATAATCTACACAGAGTAGGCATCCTGTTTTGCACCTTGAAGCCCGCGAAATCTCGGAGCGAAGGAAGAATCGAGGCCTAGATCGATCGACGGTTGAGTGATTATTCGCCGCGAACGCCGGAGATCCCAGGCATTCTCAGACGCAAAGCGTGTAGATCATGCGCTTGGCGGTGATGATTCGAGGAGATATCGGGCAATGATACTCCGTAGAGGCCCAAGACCGTTGTGTGGGAACCCAGCTAGGAGCCTAGAAGTCGCAGTGGTCACGCCATTTGGTATGCACGCATGCAGAGGATCTGTCCATTTCTATCGTACCCCTGGCAAACGGCTGTTGATCGCAATTTGTAACGAGGATCCGATTATTGGACGATCTCCGGTCCATTCATAGTGATATTGACTTGCACGATGCCTAGAAACGTGACTGGAGATTAGCACTGAGGTGACTATACCCCAAACGCTTCTTATGGGCAAAAGTACCGAGAGGCTTGTAAACAAAAAAAAAAAGAAGGCATCAAGATTCGGCACCTCCAGATCTTCGCGTGGCAACAGGAGAGAGCAGCCTTATATTGGGGTCTCAATCCAGTTTACTTCCTGTGACGGGTTCTGCAGGCACACAACATAGACGAAGAAGACGAAGGGAACTGTTGTAAGGTGTCACACATGAGTGTGTTCAAGAGTGCCTTGAAAGGTATGTTGATGGGACTAGAAGATGGAGAAAAGAAGAGGAAAGAGGAAAGAAGAGAGGAAGCAGGAGGAGGTCAACAAGAGCCACCCGAATCCGGTGTTGCGGTGACGGGAGAAGACCGCACATGACTCTTCTCCTTATATAAGATATACAAGGCAGCCCAGGTAGGTACCTACCTAAGGTACCTAACCATGTAGTAATGGAGACGAGATAGTAATTGGTAAGTATGCAGGATGCTACTTGACTGCAGCAGACCGGGTTGATTAAATTGACCCATCTAGCTATCTATATATACACTACATAGCTGCTGACAAAATCCTACATATTACCTAGGATACATTACTAGATATGATTTGCTAAGGCCGAGCACACTTGAAGGCCATGCCGGAAGGAAAGCAAGGACACTGGCTCAGATACATGCCTGGGATAATCCAGGAGGATTGAAATGGCCGTTCGAAGCATAGCAGCTGGCTCTTGCGAGCGTTGTGTCTGGTCTGATGTTACATCGTCAGACGCTAGCCCTGTACCCTCACTCGGAGTATGGACCGGAGTTGCGCAGGTGTTCCCCCCCCCAGTCTTCTTCAGAGATAGACAGTCTGATTAACTAGGTTGGGACCAATATGAATGCTGTGTGGCTGATGAAGTTGCCGTTTCATGACACACCACCAGAGAACAGGGTAGATGGGATTCTGAAACACATATTAGCACTGCAGTAATGAAAATGAGGTGTGGGCATCTATATGTAGTACAGTTGGAGTACATGTGATATACTCGATAGACTTGAATCAAAGACTCGATGGACTAATCTCAAATTTCATATTTCATCTCACCTGTGGTGTAGCTTCTGGTACTCTCATATAGAGAGTTGATAAAACTCTCTATCAGATCTCTGCCGACATCAGGTATCGTATGATGCTAACCTTGCCGTTATTTTTAGTAACCAACAGGTCTAGGACCAGAAACCTTCCTTTCTCAGCCCTTTCCTAAGAACTCGTAGTCAGCAAAGATGGACAGCTGTAACGGATGTTTTAGAGCGTTTGCCAAAGGACATCATCTCCAACAGTACAGCATAGATCGATTGGTCGATCCAGTCGGACGTTTTCTCTTTTTTTTCTCGCTTCTTGGAGTATCCTTATTCCCTATCCGGGTCGACGTCCGTACTCTGCCCGCCAGCGAGTCCTTTCAGCTGGCCATTCAGCTGTTCCTTCAGGGGGTTCGAGTTCAATGGGACCGAAAAATGGGCATTCGTGTCTCACTGTCGGTTAGAGTTCGGTCAAGTCGAATTTAGTGGCACAAAGGGATGGTTTCACTTAGTTGCCTAGGTAAAAGGTCAGGTAGCTAGTTAATCAGATTGGACCTTCAACATTGCCTAGGTAACTGACTGCCTAACACCACGACAGTATCCGTACTCCGTACTGGGTACGTACCACGGAGTAGATTCCTGTTTACTCTGGGGTCTAATCCTGATACAGTAGTAATCTGCGGTGATTCTCCTGTTGTTCTAGAAATAATAGGTAACTAGTCAACTGATCGTGATCTAGGTTTGAGCCATCAACAATAAATAGACTATTGATTTCGTGCGCGGGGAGGTACCAGCGTGCCAGAAATCAAGTCTGAGACATCTGCTGTTTTGATCCGTGTAAATTTGCAATACGGGGGTTGTTTTTTTGTATGCTATATGGAATACAGTGTACAAATACGTGTACGGAACAAGACTCAGGTACGGAGTATATAGGTGCTCGTACCAGAATTTGATCCTCGAGCCGCCCGACAAGTAACTCGGAGATCATATGGAGTACTCGTACAGAAAGCAGAATAAAGTTTAATTTCTTCGAAGATCGCATGGATCCAAGTACCGGGACAGCTGAGTACTCCGTACAGCGGACAGTGACACGACAGGAGCCCCGATGACAAATTCTGACGGTTCCCCGTCAGAGTTTCCCGTCAATGACAATGAACGATGGCCATCCATCCTTGGGAATGGGGTGAACTAAATCGCATACAAGGGAGATCCACGTTTTGACATCCCGCCCAGTGTGTGTCAGCTTTTTTCTTTTTTCTCCTGCGAGATCCTTTGCCGATCTACACCCTTTGCTCCATCATGCACGATCTCGCTAATCCATTAGGTGGTTATTCCGCCCGTAGTTATTCCGGACGGAAAAGGTACGGGGGAAGTGCTCAGTATGAAGCACTGGTCGTAGCAAGTTCGCGTTACTCCCGTCCTGGTGGCGATCTGTCGTGTTTTCCAAGGGCCAATGGGAGACTCAACCACCCCCATCACCTGCAGCTGAAGATGTCATCTGGTTCTCCAGGAATGGGAAATGGTTCCTGTTGCCTTCCTGCCACCTTTTCTGATTCGGGTAGAGCGTCGTAAACGTGTCAGGCACAGGATGCTCAGCCGCGAAGAAAAAAGGCGCCAGATCGTCCCCCTTCCTTCCTTCTCCCCCCTGACCAGGTGTACTCCCGTATCCAAGTATCCACCGGTCCACCTTACTCCGTGTTCGATATCGAATCGTGTTCAGGGTTCGTTCGCTTCGAATAGACGACGACGTCTAATGCGCCCGAGCCTCTGGACTTGGGAGTATGTCTTCCCGCTTCGTCAATAAAACTATTTAGTAGATAGTTAGGGAACCGGTCCACACAAAGAACGCTTCACAAAGAAGGGAAGGCGTCGGGAGAGGCGGGTCTCAATAGATCAGCCAAAAGCGCCTCTTTTTAGACTCTGACGTACGTACCATCGGACCACCACCGACTTTGACGGCTGTCTTCTCTCCTCCATCTTCAATGGCCCCCAAACCAAAGCATGTTTCTTTTTTTGGGGGGGGGGGGGGGGGGCTTTCTCGGGTCCGTTTTCTCCCTCTCCCTCCCTCCCTTTAGCCCCAGCCCGCCTGACGCTCCGAAATTTTACGATTGAGCATCTTGATCCAGGGTTTTTTTCGCCATGCAGTCGCATTCACCAGCGCCTGCCGTGGGAAGAAATGATGACGATCCGACGGGTTGGATGAGCTGTCAAGGTCCACTTTGGCTGCAATGACATCCCTTAGTTCAATAAGAATAGGTAAAAGGCTTGCAAGTTGCCACTTGCTGTCAGCCTGTCAGCGCCCAGCGCTTTGCTTTTCCCACCTCCGAAGGTCGTTGTGGGGATGGTGGATCCAGAAACCATCGACAAGCACGACCAAGTCCATCCCAGGACCACATGGAAAGATGGAACACGTCCGCTTCTTTCGGGGGGGGGGGGGGGGTTTCTTTTTTTTTTCTTTTTTTTGGAGGGGTGGGGAGAAGGAGGTTTACTCCGTACTTGCTTCGTAGTAGTTATTGGTGGTCAGCGAGAGAATCAAGAAAAGCACCTTCGTACAGGCTCCAGAGTAAGGAGCTGTTGAGTTCGAGTCAGTGGTCACGCAGGCGTTGTGGATGAGGCCTCCATCCGCAGCCGGGGAATGAATATTGAATAGGAGAGAGAGTCAGCAGGCGTTGGATGCCTCAGGACGTCCATAAGGTTACATTGGGTGTGCATTAATTACCAGATAATGACAGCCATACCGAGATACGTTAGGTACCTAGGTACCTAAAGGTAGAAGACCCGTATTATACTGTACTGTACGCAGTATTTTACCGAGGTGCCTTATGTCACCTACGGTCATCTGCAGTCACCTACTTGGCAGTTAACTAGTTCCTCTCTAGACAGATGCCTAGTTACCTTCCTCTCTGTACACACGATCTCGGTTTTATTCGAGAATGTGAGCCCAGTGGAATAAGGTTTGGAAAATCCTTCCCAGGGGGCAAAAACGTGGAAAGGGTTCGTTATGCTGACCTATAGGTTTCTAGGTATTTTCTTTAATCGATTGTTCCAGTTTCGCGAATGGTTGGATGAATCATCGATCGTACCGAACTCTTTCTTCCTACGGATGGGCCCAGTCCGCTCGAGATCTCAAGGGGGATCCATCAACCATGTCATCCCCATTAAGATTGGAATGAATCCCGAGGGTTTTTTTTTTTTTTTTTCCTTCCCTCACGCCGCAATGAATAGTACATTCAATAGACAACGTGGGAGTTGTTGTTAGCCACTCCATACAGAGTCAAAGACTAATTACGGAGTACTCCGTAGTTATGGAGTGCTCCGTAACTCGGTACTTCTGGTTAATAACTAATTAACTAGGTAGCAGGTACTTCCAGGTTCTACGACGAACGCCCCGAGGATTGGAGATGTCATATGCACGGGGCAACGGATCGTATGTCCCAGAGCGGCCAGATGAGCCAAATGTCAAAGTTCCAACCATTCACCGGCATTCCTTGAAGCTCCAGGTTCGATCACACTTCCCACATAGTTAGTATGCATCCTGTCCCTCACCCTACAGCAAGGCCAGGTCCCATCAATTTATTTATTGTACAGCAAGGCTACTTTGTACAGGCATGCGTCGTTCACACGGACGTGTACTGCACATGCAACTCCTCCCCCCCCCCCCCCCCCCCCCTTCTTGATTGGAAAGAATGGAATTCTGGACGGACAGACGGACAGACGGACAACAAGGCAACAAAAGACCTAGAGAGAGAGAAAGTTTGACGTGGATTGCCAAGTTGTCAGTGCCACACATCGCATCTACCACTACTACTACTACTACTACTACAAGAGGGGGTTGGGTGGAGACCAATTGAACGCTCCCAAAGTGTGATCTGCCCATCCCTGTCCTCTGCTTGGACAAGCGGCCTTTCCCTGGGTCGGTCGCCGATCGATCGATCTCTTTTGTCAGTCTCGGAAAAGCAAACCGCCATACCCGTTTGCAGAGAGCATGAGTCTGCGCACCCGGAGGACGGGAGTATTCCGTAGGTCAGTCAGTCAGTCAGTCCCATTCACCCACCTGGTTCTGGTTGAGCTTGCTCCGGTAACCCGTCCAGCTGGCGATCTCAATGCTAGACCAGTAGTGCGCCTCCGCGTCGTTTTCTGACATCAAATGATGTGGACCTCCTCCCCTTCCCCCGGCAGCGAGGGACATTCGGCGATCTCATTTGACCTTCTTAGGGGGGGGGGGCTTTTTTTTTTTTTTTTTTTTTTTTTTTTGGACATACCTTAGTACTTACCTAGTACTCCGTAACTAGGTACTAAGTTACTGAGTATCCGTACCTAGGTATGGAGTACGGAGTACAAGTACGAAGGATGTACTACGTAGTTGACCTTGGTAGGAACCTGGGACAATAATTGTAGGCAATGAGTACTAGGTAGCCCGCCCGTCCTTGCTCTCCTATCTAGTACCTTATGTCCTATTGCCACCCTGCCTACCCTCATACAAACAATGGAAGGTTCAATCAATAATACGATGAGGCTTCTCCACCTCTCAGGCATGCGAATCCTCCGTACTTCGTACACCGTCCGTACGGGAAGAGAAAATTACCACGGTTCATCTTTTTATGGCCGATACCTGTTAGTTACCTTAGGTACCTTCTAAGTTTATCGATCTGCCCGCTTATCGTAGATGCTGTCTGTCTGGCTGCTGTCTGTCTGTTCATAGCCCGAGACCGACTACCTAAATATAGGGCGTTTCGAGTAGTTTCATGGATGTTTGGTAGCCGAGAGCCCGTCCCAAGAAATTATCTCTCCGTTTTCCTTTCTTTTTTCTTTTCTTTTTTTCGTCAATCACTACTCACCCCCATGAGGGACGGCGGGGTGAACCCTGGCAGTGGCTTGATCCAAGAAATTAAAAAAAAAAAATAAGGAAAATAAAAAAAAAAGGACGGTGATGATGATGATGCAACAGGAAAACAACACAACAGCAGCAACAACAACAACAACAATAATAATCTGGCAGCCATGGATCTCGGCCAGGTGTCTTTCCACTCAATAGATAATACCTCTTCCACTCAATGACGCGCCCCTCGCCCCCTCCCTAAAAGGGTTCTACTCCGCTCTCTCTCATCTGTCAAGAACTCGGGCCAACTTTATGTCTTGCCCGGCCGTTCTCCGCTTTGGCATGCCTTCTGGATACCAAGACTGAATAACTAACTAATAATGATGGGACCCAAACCTCCTCCTCCGTAACCAACCTGTTGTAGGAAGCCTGTGGCTCCCTGGGCCTCCGTACCCACTCCACTCACGATCGTCATTGCCTTTTTGCAGTCTTTTTTTTTTGGGTCCCCCTGTTAATACCTTTCCATGGTTGCGCCCATCATGTAACAAGCTGACGGGGCTTTACCTCCCCAATATTGTCTTTTAAAAAGGTTACCTGCTGTCCTGCAGGGTCGGCGGACAATTGAACAAACACCGCTTTTCGCCGAACTGCTTTTGCGAAAAGAAAAAGAAAAAAAAAGGCTCGCTCTCTGCCCACCACCCATCCTGGGGCCAATTGTTGCCTCGATCTCGTCTCCAACCTTGCATAATCTTGGTTCGGTTGCTTCCATCGTGATCGTGAGCGGCAATGTTGATGTAAATCGGCACACGCTTGGTAAGTAAGTACCTACAGTACAGAGTACCTCTAGGTACCTAACTCTTAGGCTCTCTCTCTCTCTCTCTCTCTTTTCTTCATATTATTACATACAACCCCCCCCTCCGTCTCCGTCCCTTTTGATTTTTTTATAGACTGCCCTGTCGATAATTTACCCCTCCTTCCCTTGCTTGGACTTTGGTCACTGATGGTCCAGATCGTTTTCCCTCGTGAGAGCTAGCTATATAGACCTGCGCGACAGCCGCTGGCCGGCTGACACAATCCGCCACTACCAGGAGGTACCTACTCGGCTTAAATACCACACCGGACATCCTCCGTCGTTTGGGTTGACAACATCTGCTTCTTTTTTCGTCGCTTTCATCCACCGTCGATCCTCCAGTCTCGTCGTTCCCCTCTTGCTCTTTCTTTTGTCTATGTCACAGTGCCCAACGTCGGGTGACGACGCTTCGGACGATATGGCCATTTCCTATGCTTCTGGACTTCCCACCGGCCATACCCAGACGCTTCCCTCATTTCGCGAGGTATGTGATATATGAACTATTATTTGTACCCTTCTGTTCATTTGAAATTTAACAATGTTTCCCCCCCCCCTCTCTAGCTACTTCCACCGCATTTACATGATGAGATTGAGTCAACATCCTACTACAGCAACACCAACAATAACAACACCCCTCGTCACCATCCTCACGAGCGCCCGCTATCGAGCCAGGAGCTGCTATCCGACGTACGATCGGCTCCGGGGCGATCGTTACCCGCCAAGTTTGGACCCGGATATGCGAACCCGGCTCTCATCGACGAGGGGCACCCGCGAAACGTAGCGGAGCCCGGGGCTTTCCAACAAGCTCGACTGCCAGGGAGCGGCGGTTCCCCAGCAATGTCAGGGAGCACACTGCATCACCCGTCGCGGGGACCTAGCCCCATTCTCCCTCCCATCCGTGACCTCCATTCACTACCGGATCGCAATCTGAATGGGATGCGAGGGGGTTCACCGTTTGCTACTACCGCAGACATCCGCAGCGCTCCTATCGAGTCACACGGTATGGGTATAGGGTCATCTTTTGGAGCCGTTGGAGCCGTTGGACCCGCCAGGGGGCCTGCCATTGCTCCGAGTCAACAGCAGCAGCCGCCGGCGCCGGCGGTGGCAGCAGCGCCAGCATACGGGTATACATCAATGCCATACACGAGCGACTCCGAACAGAATTCACCGCAGCACCTGGCGCATCTTCCGCCGTCATCGAACTTTGGCATGATGGGGGGGGAACCGGCGGACTCGAAAAATAAGCGAAGAAGGGGGAACCTGCCAAAGCCTGTCACGGACATCCTGCGGGCTTGGTTCCACGATCATCTAGACCACCCATACCCGAGTGAAGAGGACAAACAGATGTTCATGACCCGTACCGGTCTCTCCATCAGCCAGGTAAGCTTCCTTCTTGACTTTACCCAACATTTAGATAAAATTTAGACAAAAGGGGTTGATTTGCTAACTACTTTCCTCAGATTAGTAACTGGTTCATCAATGCTCGACGCCGTCAACTTCCCGCCCTGCGCAACCAAATGCGCAACGGGGGCAGTGAAGCAGAGAGCCGCCGACAGTCGCCGCTGAGCGACACGGAATCCACACAGGATGCCATTTCACCGACCCGGGGCCCGAACGCTCATCGGTCATGATCTGGCTCTGAAAGACTCTTTTTATCATCTCTCCCCCCCCCCCCACCCCTCTCTTTCTCACCGTCTGAACTTTGACCTTGATCTACGACAACATCTCACTCCAATACACGCTTCTGAATGTTTTCTTTTTTCTCTTATGAGTCATTACTTGCATGGTGGGCGACGGGCATTTATTTCCTTTTTTCCCCCCCCCCCCATTTTACCCTTAATTCTTCTCTCTTCTGGCGCTTTACTTGAGACATCATGACACGGGGAACACATCTTCTTCCTATCAATATTTTTTTTTGTGTTTTATTTCCTCTAGTTTTCATGCATGACCCCGGATCGAGGAGAAATAGGTCTTGATACCCTTCTGGTTGTTTTGAATTAAAGCAGGTTATATACCGGGGTTAGAGGAGAAGGCCATGAAAGACAATGAATACACTAGACTGCATATTCCTCAGTATGAACTATGAAGTAATGCTTGAACCTGTCGATTTGGAATTGGGAATATACCCCCACCTGTCCTTCTGTCTGCCTCATCTCCACCCCCCATTTTCGGGAAATGCACAAGCGTCAAGGACCAGCACGAACTACCAAGAACCCCGATCCATGGATGAGATGGGTGGAAACCAGGCGTAAGGGAGTGGAGACTGGGTGTCTTGTATCAAATTTGAGTTGTCTTTTTTTTTTTTAATATCTTTGTCGTCTATTTAGAAGGAG